TGGCTACATTAAGTCCTCTGCACTTGTATATAATGAGCATAACTAAGGACACAGTCCCAATTAAAAAATCTTTAAGCTTTTCTTCTGCTATGGACAGTACATATTGTTTTCATGAAAAGTATATTAAAGGTATATGGAAACTAATATAACATTAATATTTGCACCAAAATCTGATGTAAGCCAACAATTATTTAAGCTTCACCTGAAAGAATAAAAATAGTTTACTTAAGATGATTGAATTAGGAAGTAAGGAGGGAAAGATTTAAGAAAAGAGTATATAAAAATAGTAGTGACCATCTGTTCTTGGGCTTTCCACAATCAGTGGAAGCACCTGGAGCTCCATCCTGAGAATTATGTGTGAATTACACATTGGCTAGAAAAAACTACCTCAAAACCTTCTTCTTTGTAACTAGATCTGTTAACTTAGTATTTTGAATCTCTTCTTATATATTTGCCAAACCTGTTAAGTAGAAAAAAGTTGAAGTGGAGGTTTCATCAGGTTTCATTAGGAAAATCAACAGCATAAGGTCTACTGTGGGGTTCTGATTCAGGTAAGATCAGACTAGATCTACACCAACATTTCTCAACCTTCTGTCCTTCAAGCTCCATAATCCCATTGTTGGGTAGGTCTAATAAGAATTGATTGTCTTTCCTCTGCTTATGATGCTAAGAAACTTGAAATCCAAAGCCACCTCATTAGCTTAAACAAAAATATATATTGGTTTAATCCATGACACTTTTGCATCTGTTCACTCATAAGCCTTCCTGTGATGGAATGGAATTATGAAGGCCAGGCTCGGGGAGATAAGCATTTTCTTAGCTCACCGAAAGAGCATGGGAACCACAAGAGGATGAGGCTGGCACCTCCCTGAGGAATTCAGGGTGTTGTGGCTGCCTGGCTTGGGAGCTAGGGTTTGAGTCTGGGAAGATTGATGTCAGGTTTAGCCCAAAGAACTCCAAGAGACAGTGCAAAATCAGTTCAGCTATGTTTATTAGCTACAGCCTTTAGCAAGAATCTTCCCAGACTGAAACCCCAGCTCCCAAGCCAGGCAGCCACAACACTGTGAATTCCTCAGGGAGGTGCCAGCCTCATCCTCTTGTGGTTCCCATGCTCTTTCGGTGAGCTAAGAAAATGCTTATCTCCCCGAGCCTGGCCTTCATAATTCCATTCCATCACACTTCCTCATCAATTCTATTCTTCAGTATTTGTAATACTGCATTTTCTTTCAAAGTGTACATTTCTAAAAATTAGGGGGAAATACCCTATTTTTTCCAAGTAACATTCTAAAATAAATGCACATTGATATTGGTTTAATCTGTATCTGGGTCAACACATTCAGGACACGCAAAAGTGGATGGATGGGTTCCAATGCGTACAATAGATCAGGAAGCACGGATTAGATCAGTAAATAAAGATCAGAGAGCCAGTATCATTAAGGTGTTAGACTGGCACCATGTCCAAGCCCATGTCCAAGTTCACCTTCAGCCACAGAAGCTCACTGGGTGATTTTGGATCAGTCACTCTCAGCCCAACTTATCCCACAGCTCACAGGGTTCTTATGGTGGGAGGGAATGCAAGGAGGCAGCAATATGCATGGTGCCTTGAGCCTCTGGACAAAAGATGGGACATGAATCTACCAAATAAATTCTTCAAATATTCTTACTAGAACAAAGCAAAAAACGATTTGAAGGCACACGTTGCAGAGTCTCCAGTTAGCTGCTAATTGTTCCAATTTAAGAGCTGGTAATGTCAGTGTTTCTAGTTTAAGTATTTACTGGATGTCAGAACTATCAGCATGTAGCATCATTAGCCAGATGCCAGAGCCCAAGGATTACAGCAAAGCTGAAATTTGACCTTGGCTTTGCCCACCCCCAAGCCTCTGTAGCTCACTTAGAAAACTGCCATTTATATTTTCCACAATATTACTGACATAGTATGGTTCGGACCAAATGTTTGCCTGGTGACTCTCTCACAATGCTCAGTTTCACATTTTACCTGAGCTGCCCAGAGCTAATTACTGGGCTACTGCTGCCCTCTGCTGCCCATTAAGAAGCTGTCCAAAGAAGTCCATAAGTGGCCATCAAGTCAGAAGCTTGGAGCTGCAGCTAACATCCTCCACACTATACAGCAGTTAATATGAGATGTTATCTCAGGTGATATAGCTACACTGAACAAGTCATCTCAAAGCCAGGCCAGAAAGGTCTGAAAATTAGAATGCCAAGCTGAAGATGATTACTATATCTTTCTGTGCATTTGTCTGTCTAAAAGTAAACCTTACGACTGGGCTATGTTATATTTGCAATGGGAATTGCAGCAAAACAAAAACAAAAGATAGTTTTGTGGCGATTACCTTATTTTAATGTTTCTAGGTAGTTTTCATATGCTAATTCCATAAAGTATTAAGGATCGCAACCCCATTCTCCATTAAAGTTACAGTGGGACAGTGGCGTAGTCACAGAGCTTATCTGAAGAATATTTTTTCCAGCGGCCTCTTAAAGAGCATTCCGTTAGGCAACACTTGCTGTTGATATTTTTCACTGGGATTTGACTATTTACTGATTGCGCTAACCCATGTTTTATTTCATGGCTTGTTGAATTAACCACAATGGATTGAACATGTGTACATGTTAAGCCATAAATCAAACAATGTGTGTAGTGTGTAAACTTATCTTTACACTATCTTTGCCACTGAAATTTTTCCCAGTCTTTTATTTACAGACATAGGAAACATAAATATGGCTATTATCACAAATCACAGCCTCCTAACAATGTTATTAAATTTGACTCAGCATTTATTCAGAAGGAGGTTTTTTTGTTGTTGTTTTTATGGTCTTCAAAATAAATCAGTTGTTCCTGCTGTTTCTTCTTTGAATAAGTTCTTTTAAATACTGAATAATTTAAATATCTTAAGTGAACCCTGAGGTATTCAATACATTTTCACATTTGTATCATCCTAAAAGACCTGAAATTTACTTTTTTCATCTAAGAGCTATGAACTTTTCTTTTCTTTTCTTTTCTTTTCTTTTCTTTTCTTTTCTTTTCTTCTTTTCTTTTCTTTTCAATAGAAAAGTAGAAAATCAAATCCAACCTATTTTTATCTCCTCATAACCTGGGAATGAGTCAGATGCAGCCTGTATATGAGTGCCGTCATGAAAAGTATTTGCAAACCACTTCTACCAATCCAATCTAATAAGGAGAAGAAACAATTTCTTTCCCTCTGTTTCTGACTATTCAAGTGTTTTTTAAAGTCATATTACCTTATGCTTAGCATTTGGATGAGTTTCCCCTGAAAGCTTAAAATGAAGGATTATAAAATAAAGGCTCCAAGAATCCCCCTGAAATCTGTGAATATACATTCATAGATGCATATTTTCCTCATGTCACACAAAATATTGAAAACTTTATGCATCAAAAGCTGATTTCCAGCTGTTAGGCAACATATGTGCTTCCTGGAAGATCAAGTGTTTGAAGGCTGCTTCTCATAAAAGAAGCCCCATGTGGAAAGATGTGGTGGTGGAGTCAAGAGGCCAATCTACCATAGTTTCCAACCAGAAGTCAAATAAAGACACACTGAGTTTGTTTTTGGAGTTTTTTTCCTGCTTTAACAGAAATAGATGAAGGAAGATAATGCAGATCTTAGAGTGGGGTTGTTCTTATTGCAGATGAGAGCCATTAAAATCTAGTTTTAGATAATGAAGGTGAAGAAATCATCATCTTCATCATCATCTATTTTTAGTGAAAAAAAAGGTAACTAATAATATCACTGAATAGAATGCATAACTGTTAAATATTAAGAATGTAAAAATATTAAGAATGAAACAAATAGTGGCTATATAACTATCACTGATTGCACAAACATGAACTTACAAGAACTCAAACAAGCAGTTACCAACAAACAATCCTGGAAATTATTCCCATCAGGTCACAAAGAGTTGGAAGCAATTGAACAACAGCCACAACAACTACTATTTAAAAATATATATAAACCTGATATTATCAGTAAAAAAGCTTGACAAAATAAAGGAGAATTTTTAGGAACTACTCAAGCACTAGAAAAGGTAAAACAAAAGTTATGAGTTTAGTATATATTTAATTTCATGAGCTAATCATTATCTGCACCACAATTTCAGATTGAAAATACTTGAGACAATTACGTTGGTACTTCTAAATTACAGATAACATGAGGCTTCAGGGATACACGCAGTGCCTGAATCTTTAACCACAGTTGCTGAAAAGTGGTGGCATAGTTTTATGCCAGTTTGAATCGAAAACATTAAAAACTGTAATGTGTGCCTTAACATAGACTTAACAACCAGTCCACAGAAACACACACCTTCCTACTTTGCATTATATCCACACACACAGCAGCTCCCAGCCATCCCAAAAAATATTAAAAGTCAACCCCAACCTTAAGATTTCCTACACCATCTTAAATTGAAATTTTAAATCTGATTCTTCTACATAAGGTATGCTATTAAAGCATTATTCTTTAATACAGTTAAACATATTGCACTGTAATAAGTTCTATTCAGCAGAAACTGTATTTAACCTATACTGACAATATAAGTAAGATATCAGAAGTGCAATGCTCAAATATATTTTTATTGTAAGCCATTTCCAGATTTTTAAAAGAAATACAAATGTTATAAACAATAAACAAATAAAATAATTGAAAATTGTGTTATAATTACAGAAGTATCATAAGAAGCAATCCAGTAATTCCAATCCATTTCCAGGAATTAAATAACATAAGAAGAGAAGTCTTCAGCCTTGTAGTAATAGCATCTCTCCCAAGGAAAACTATTTATTTAAATATATTTATTAACTTGTTTTGTTTAAAAGCAAAATGGAGACTCAAAGAGCTACCATGACAAGTATAAAGATTTAACCAAATACAAGATACAAATCATAGAATTTTGCAATAAACACCCGATCCTTTTTTCAGTTCTTTTTCTTGCTATACATTCATATAGTGTATACTTTATTTCAATATCCTTACCTTTTGAACAGCTTTTATTTTTGTATCAGAATCCATCCAGTCATTTTCATTTTCCAACATGTCTATAAAGGCCCATCGAATTCCTTCAGTCAGCTCTTCCATCTGCAGGAAACATTATCTCCAGTAAGAACTTGAAATACATATGCTGTTTTCAATCCAATACCACAGGGAGAAAAAAGTCTACATGGACAAGCATGTTTCTGTGCAAATTGCCTGTATGGATGCAGTTGTATATTTGGTTATACGTTCATATCTGCATCATTTTGTTCAACTAGTTCCCAGCCAATAACATTGGCTGTTCAATTCTAGAATAAGAACTGGCTTAGAATAATATGTCTGTATGACCATCAGAATCCATAATGCACTTCACTTTTCCTCTATTCTTTGTCCTATACCCATTTTTAGTATCCTAAAGGTGTTTTGTATTTCAGCTCCCATAAGCTTTTATGCTGGGCTGTATTGCCAACCTCTGATTTCGATTCTAAGAAATCAGAACATCATAGTAACAAAAACTGTCTTAAGATTGATAAAAATTGCAATATTATTATGAAATGCATTTGGGTTGAAAGGAAATTATGTAAAAGCATCACAGGCAGATTTTGCCCTAAATATCAATCTGAAATGTGAAAATAAAATACTGGAAAATTATACTCAGATGTGAAAGAATGGAGTAAGTAGTAGATGAAACTTCTAGATTTCTCTAAACCTAAGAATTAGGTTTAAATTAACATTATTAAGTTAAGATTCCATTACAGAAAATTAATATTATAACAGAACTATTGGTCTTCAAGGTGCTACAACACTGTTTGCTGTTTTTGTTTCAATTAAGCTACCACCCTAGAAACTGCTGGCTGAATAAGTTTTGATATTGATCTAGATCTGTAGAAAAAGAATGTCCTTCTCTAAATGACCTAAGGGACTTGTAGCATCGTTTATGATTCATTATTGTCTTTTTAATATCACATTATTTTGGTTCAATATGGAAGTGAGTATAGATTTAACACAGAATATGGCTGAGCATTCAACAATCAAGAGTAAACTGCATACCAGGGAATACGTTAACTCAGAGAATATTGATGGCAGAGCAATGTTTCAATTAACTTACTGCACTAATGAGCTGAACTCCCTGAACTTGGAGGTTGCCAATTCATATTCTAGGTTCTACAATTGGACTCTGGGGTATATTCTGATTTTTATGCACAGCTGTAGCAACAGTGGTAAGAGGAAGAATGTATATCCTCTGAGCTGTTATCAAAATTGTTCAGGTGTAGCCATTTAGGTGGCCTAGACTGTAGGTCAACAATATTGCTATATTTAGATCACAAATAATATCTCTTTGATCAAAGAAGAAAGACAAGATGACACCCAGGGCATGAGTTCATCAATCACTACATTTGAGAACACCATAATAAATTATTTGTTTTGCAACAGGCATCTACAACTAAGAGGATGTGGGGATTCCATCATTTCATAATGTCTAAGCAGCTGAAACATGATAGAAAAGCTACGGAAATGAAAAAAGCCCACTGTAAAAATGAAATAAACCAGAGTATTTATTTACATATTATCCATATTCATATTAAAATCCAACATTTCAATAAGATTTACTCACAAGGAGGCATGTACAAGATTGAGTTTAACCCTTAGAGAATAAGCACGCATAGGATTATGACACTGGTCGGTTCATTCAAGATTTGATTGACAGTATTCTTCTCCAGGTTTTTTTTCTACAGGACATTTTGGGTTATGCCTATACTCAACCACAGCTAACATTCCAATGTTATACACACCCATCACACTATTCCCTAGTGCAAAGCAGCATTATGCAAAGCACAATAAAGGAATAAGAACTATTAAGCAAAAGTAGCTAAAAGCATAACATAGGAAAAAAGAAATAGAAACACAGCTAAAACTATTGTGTGTGTGTGTGTGTGCCTTCGAGTCAGTCATGCACCAACACTATTCACAATACCTTTCTATACTTGCTTACATCGTATCCATTGACGACCTCATATGCTGCCTTTTGTTCTTTAGACTTCATAACTTTCTCTTTTCAGGACCTCATTAACTGCAGCCAGCCAGAATTTTTTCAGCCTTCCCCTTCCTCTCAATCCATACACCCTTTCTTCATTTTTGTGCTTGATCACTTTCATTCTTTCTATATAACCAAGCCACCTCAAAGTATTTCTTTCACAATGGTCACTCACTTTTGTATTCAATCCACATTGTCACCAACCATTCTTAACCCAATTTTTTTACTTGTTTATTTTGTCACCCACACTTCTTAAGTGCCCCATTAACACACTTTTATGTTTCTTGTGACACAGCTCTCATATCCATGTAACAAGTGAAACACAGCAGTTTTGCTTCTGTGACAATCATTCATTCCTTACCACAGGCCACCAGCTATCCACTACCTTTCTACAAGCGTTTGAATATCTTATAATACTACCTCCATCCATTTTATGATTTGTGGTAAACTTTCTATCAAGCATGGTAGATAAGCACATCACACTATCTTGTCTTATACTCTGTTCAGTGTTCACAGAGCTGTGAGTCCAAATTCAGTACATTAGTTCTGTGACTCTTGTCAATTTTTTTAATATTGCATATATTTATAAAGTTCAAGAATGTCCATTAGAAGAGAGAATGCTCTCTCTTAGTGCTCCGTAGACCCAAGAAGAGTATTTTCATTGCTAACATATAGGATGCATATCAGTGACCCATTTTTGAAGGGGGTACAAAACTTGGCCTTAATGGAACAAAATAATAATACAGTTGGTACAAAATGTTAGCATGTATACTGACTGAAATAGCACTATAATTTCCTCAGAATCCTATCTTGAAATGTCTGTATTCCCTTATGTACAGTGATACAAAACTCAGGCTTTGTGGAATAAAATGGTGTAAAATTGGAACAAAACTATGTCTGTATTCCCTTATGTACAGTGATACAAAACTCAGGCTTTGTGGAATAAAATGGTGTAAAATTGGTACAAAACTATGTTATTATAGTTAGGACAGCTATTTTTATTGAAGTCAATTCAAAGACAGTTATTTGTTTCTACTTCAGCTGGTCCTAAATAAACTATAATACTTCTCTGACCTTATCACAGATTTCACTTTGATGTGATTTGTTCCTGAAACTGGGACTCTTTATTTTGCACCACAGAATAATACTAATTCCCTATTTTGTGTTTACTTGAATATAATTGCTGTGAACTCTTCTACCATTGTTTACTGTGTTGAAACAATCAAACATAAAAAAATAAAAATAAAATAAAATATTTTAGAAACCTACCATTTCTCTCTTGTCTTCTTGGAAATGTAGTTCCACAAATACTCTGCCAACAACATATGGGAGAGCACTTTCTACAAAGTTTACACATTTATCCCATTGAGGTAATAAAGATGTTGTTCCTTGGATTACCTGTTTGGGTTAAGATTGATAAATTATGGGTAAGTTAGAAAAGTATTGATTTTAATGGTCTGATTTTGTAGCACAGTCTACAAAATCAGACCACTATGTACAAATCATCATCATCATCATCATCATCATCCCCAGTGAGGCACTACATTGATGTGGTAATGGGGCTTGCATGCTCCAAGGAGGATGAGAGCAATGAAATGGAATCACTGCTCAACACTGTCCAAATATACAGCCAAGATATTGCAGTGGAGTTTGGACTGGACAAATGTGCCACCCTGACCATCAACAGGGGGAAAAAAGTGAAAACTGAAAGAATCAAGATGCCCAATGGAAATAACATCAGGAGTCTGGATAAAGAAGATCACTACAAATACCTGGGCATCCTTCAGGCTGACAACATCAAG